ACGATTGGTGTCTGTTATTCAAGACAAGCCTTCAAACTATGACACTGACATTTTTGCGCCAATCTTTGAGGCCATTCAGAAGGCTAAAGGCGTGAGACCATACAGTAGAAAAGTTGGAAAGGATGATGTTGATGGTATGGACATTGCTTATCGTGTGCTGGCAGACCATTCACGCACTCTGACCATTGCTCTTTCCGATAATGGACGACCTGACAACATTGGTCGTGGATACGTTCTTCGGAGAATTTTGAGGCGAGCTGTGTGATATGCTACTGAAAAAATGAATGCTGCTCCTGGAAAATTTGCTAGCCTAGTTCCTGTGGTGGTTGAAATTCTAGGGGATGCTTTTCCCGAGCTGAAGAAAGACCCAGAAGGTGTGATGGACATAATTAATGAAGAAGAAAGCCAGTTTCTCAAGACACTTTCTCTTGGCTGGAGCCTTTTTGAGAAGACCATGGGCAAAGTAGGGGACCAGAAGTTTCTGCCAGGTGATGTGGCTTGGAGGTTGTATGACACATATGAATTTCCCATTGATCTGACTCAGCTGATGGTTGAAGAGAAAGGCCTTGCTGTTGATATGGAGTGTTCTGAGAAGGCCAAGCAAGCAGCTGAGTTGGCATTCCAAGATGGAGAAAACAAAGTAGATCTTGGGCTGAAAAGCATACCGAAGCAATAAAATGATAATCAAGATTGGACCAACGTAAATAAAAACAACCCAGCGTTGGGGTGACAAACCATGCTCTGTGCAAAACGAAGTCGCAATTTCATTGGGTATCTTGTGCGTGACGACTACCGACGCTGTTCTAACAACCAAGGATGGCCGTTCCTAACGCTTATATTATTAAAAGCACAGCACTTTTTTTTTCTCAAAACTGCGGCCGCTTGTCTCCGCGGCGAGTACTGCGCAATGGTGGAGTAGAGCTCTGTGCCTCTATATGATCACTCACTTGTGAAAAGCGCGTTAGCTTTCACAACTATCGTAAGGATCCGAAGCTGCGGAAGAAGTGGGCAGTCAAACTCAGAAAGAGAAAGCGACCCACGACTTCATCGATCGTGTTTAGCAAGCACTTCGCTGACAGCGACTTTTGCTATAGCCGTCCTATGCTCCACTTTTCGGTAAGCTTTCACCCGTGTTTGAGCGCCTCGCCAGTACTTCAGCCATTCATTGCACGCAGGCTACGAGCATCGGCGACTTACACCAACTGACGTGTCGTCTCAAAACCTACTGCGAAGGCCTCAGGGTGTCGACGACGCGGCCTCCGAATCGCCTCGGCTAAGCACGCCTCGTGAGCGCAGCTGAGTAGTGCAGGACATCTGAGACTACGGCTTTATTTGGTTGGTGTACGAACATATATACGTAGTTTACTGATGAAAGCAAGCGCATTACTGGCGCACTGCTTACCATAAATTTGTAAGCAAAACTTGCTGTCACTCTTTAGTGCGCATTCACTAAAGTTTGTCACCTAAGGCAGTGCAGACACTTTAATTCACATAAAAAACAGCGCCAATAACGAGGGACAAGAGAAAGAAGGAGACAGACAGCGGCACTGTGCGCTGTGCAGCGGCACGTCCTAGACGAACTGAAGACATTGAAGGCCCTTGGCATGGTGAAAATCCTGGAGGCAGTGGAGGCGGTCGGAGTCGTAGAAGCCCTGGAGGCAGTGGAGGTGGTCGGAGCCATAGAAGCCCTTTAGGCAGTGGAGGCGCTTGGAGCGGCGGTAGCCCTGAAGGCAGTGGAGGCGCTTGGAGCGGTGGAAGTGCTGAACGCAGTGGAGGCGCTTAGAGCGGTGGAAGTGCTGGAGGCAGTGGAGGCGCTTGGTGTGGTGAAAGTCCTGGACGCGTTTTTCCTTTACGCTTTGTCAGGCTCCTTAAGCTTTTTATTACGCTACATGCATGAATACAAACTCACCAAGCTTGCCTTTGCCACGTTAATTTCTGTACCTGTGCACGGTATATATTATAAGCGATAATTATTTGTTATATTCTGATACCCAAGCGACGGTTCTGTACCTTATTAATGTGAACTACTTCGTGACATCGCTCTAGCTGAACAATCATTATTGTGACAAACTAGGGTTATTTGAATTAGCCGGGGTACAATAAGGCGGAAATTGCCCCCTCTCCAAGTCACACCAGAACTTGCCCCTCAAGGCTCTTCTTGCTGCGTTACAACACGGGCTTGCGCCCTTCCGACGCCCATAGTTACAATCCAAGCATGATTGTCTCCAATTCGGTAATTTGATGCTGCTTTGCAGTTTTAATAAATGCCACAAATCGTTGATTGACTGCTGAAGCAGCAGTTTAAACAGCTGCTATGCAGTAAATATGGTGTGCTGTGTTTCCTAATGCCAGAGTGGCATAAATCAGCGATTTTCACTCATGTCTTCGTGTTAACTGTCACTATCGTTGCACTGCAGAAAACATATTATAAGGAGAAGGGCAGGCGTGCCTTCCTCTTAAGGATTGTTGTGAAAGCCAACGTCCCTTTCAGTGGAAGACGAAGCACAGTGAAGCATAGAGCAGTACTGTACCACGGAGGCACTGTGTTGTGGGCTCGCAAGTTTTTGTGTTTGCTGGACAATAGCCGCGACGGTAATGCGATCTCCAGTGACGACCTCGACTACGCATTCAACAACGTAGTCTGCGTCGTACACCACCCCGCTGTCGATGAGATACTGCAAGCTTTCGCAAGCTGTATCTACATGCTTGTAGATGCTGGAAAAATGCACGCTTATTGAAACTTCAAAAGAAACAACCCAACTAATTAGTATCGCACGGCGAAAACTGCAGATTACGAGCGAGAAAATTCACACATAGTGTCACTTTCTTGGCCCTGTCAAATGGGCCGCTACTAAAACAAATTCATAATTGCACTTCAAAGCATTCATTGTAGGTGTTAGTTGACCCTTGAGAGGCTGTTAGTTCGAGAAAGTTCTCGCCAGATGGAGACGATCCGCGCACAAGAGCAGCGGCTGCTGCAGCGTGGTTGAAAGCGGAGTCTGCGAAATGATGTCACGCGCGAGAGGAAGCCGTTTCGAGATCTCGAGGCCAATTGCATGACAAGGAGGTCTCATTTTAACTATAGACTCCCGCGTTAAGGAAGAAATTTTTAGAGTTGCATTTTCTAAGACAAAAGTGTTTTATAGCGGGGTCCATCAACGTTTCAGTGACGTGTTTTTGTCACGGAACTGATGTCAAATAAGTGCAGGATCAAACGGTAAAAAAAAAAGTCTGGCCAATGGGAGCCAAATTTACAAAATTTTGCTCTGCAAAAGTGGGTGCCGGGCACACTGTCGAATTCCACGTTCACTCACTGTAGAGGGTCTACTAATGTGCCTTTTATTGCAATATTGGGTGTAGCACCGCGTACAAAATTGTACAAAGAAGCAGCTAATAGAAAAGAGGCCTCTTTCCTGTCAACCAGTTTTTACAATTTTGTACGCGGCGCTACAACCAATATTGCAAGGAAGTACCAACTAGCCCGCATATACACCCTTGTTAAATGCCTTTTATATAACACACTTTCCTCTCCCAGCGTGCTTGCACTATCTTGGTAGAGTGTACTCCAGGTCGGCGGAGTGGTATCGCTGCCTGAGAGCAGTAAAGTGATGAAATGCATCAGGGCTGTGGACTACGCGATAAGTAGCTGCTAAGCGGCGATGCTAAGCGGCGATGCTAAGCGTTCGTCCCGGTCAGCACGTTTCGATAGAAGGGCAATTTTGTCAACCATGTTCCACGCTTCGGAGCAAAACCATGGTCAAGATGAAGGGGACACATGACGCGCGCTGTGTTTCCTTCTAGACTGGCCGGGGTGTTAAATAACTCTGATATTTACCACGGGATGGTGACTTTAGCTCAAATTCCGCGTTCAGTGGCTGTTTTCTCTCATGACGCTCCTACGGGTAACTACTGCCACTTTCACGAAGGTGTCTTGATTGATTCACCACAGACGTTTTGTCCGGTTGGAGATGTGCCTCCAAGCGCCCTGAAGCCCCGTGAAGCTTTAGACTGTGCTATAATTGACAAGACGCAATACAAATTGTGGAAGCTTTCTGATATAAATGTATACATTAAACTATAAACTACTTCTGTGAAGTCGTTTTAATTCAGTGTTCTACTGACTCATGTGATCATTCGGTCAGGACGCTTCGGTGTGCAAAATGAATCTAGAAGCTAAAGACGTGCTCACTTAGTCTACACCCCCTTGCCCACGATAACAAGGATGTTATAGCGGTTATAGAGTCTCCACTGTAGCAGTTGCGCTGGAGATGCACTGACACAAACAACGCACTTGTGTGTGTGTAATGCATCAGTGAATCTAAAACTAGGTGACGCCACGCGCATAAGCGTCAGTTTTATGTCTAAATAATATATCGGGTTTAAGGTGCCAAAACCACCATATAATAATGAGGGACGCCATAGTGGAAAACTCAGAAAATTTCCAACACCAGGGTTCTTTACGTGCAACCGATTCAGAGCACACGGGCCTACAGCATTTTAGACTCCATCGAATTTTATCTCTTCATACACTGCAGACTGATTGATATATGGTGTTTAACGTACCGAAACCACCATATGAATATGAGAGACGCCATAGTAGAGGGCTGCGGTAATTTCGACCACCTGGGGTTCTTTAACGTGCGCCCAAATTTAAGCACACGGGTGTACAGCATTTTCGCCTCCATCGAAAACGCAGCCGGTGCAGCCGGTGCAGCCGGGATTCGATCCCGCGACCTGCAGGTCAGCAGCCGAGTACTCACTAGACCACAGTGGCGGGGCTCATGCACTGCTGTACACGCGCGTTGTCATTTTGTATATAGACAGAAATAAATGTCTGCGTCTGTGTAGTCTTAAACAAATCAATTCCTGTGGTCTGCTGTCTGTCGGCTCTTCCCTTCAAGCCAAATGAGGCTTTGGCAGGCAAATGAAGGATTATTATTATTATTATTATTATTATTATTATTATTATTATTTAGTGGGCTCATTCTGTTTTCTCCCAGATCCTTGGGATGGCCATCTATGCGCTGCTCTGGGATTCTGCAAATGAGCTGGACAAGTTCCTGGTGACGGTGGCCTTTCTGCAGTGGATGACCGGTCTCTACATACATGCCACGATCGCATTCTGCGCGACGGGCGCCCGTATACGAGGCCTTTTACTAGTGAGTATATTTGTAAATCTTCTAGCATCGTGCACAGCGCACAACTGCTTAATCGTCACGGAAATCCACTTGAACGGCTCGTTATAGAGAGGCGATAAGTGCAATACGAGCCTGAAAACAAAAAGACCGTCTAGGTTGATAGGGGTTCGCGCTTTAGGCAGGGAAGAAAAGGCACACAGTGCTTTGTGTTGTCTCCTCATTTACTCGTATCTCAGTCCGTGTCACAAGCCTTTGAACTTACTACAGGTTTTCCGGTTTTACTCATCTTTATTTTCTTTCCCAAAATTTTGCTTTTATTGTTTTCCTCCAGTAACAAGACGACCAATACACTTCTAGTTTTTGCGCCCTAACTCGATCAAATCGGAGGTCTTCCGCAGCTTGGCTGTGGCGAGTCTACTAGTAATATTGCCTGCGCGTCTGCTCCCGCAATTTGAAATAACGTTCCACTTCGAAGGAGCCTGGGGGGAGGCGAAGGCATGGTTGCTTTGTTTGGCTAATTTGCACCAATTTGGGCTACATTTTCAGGCAATAGGCGGCAGAAAAAAACAACGTATTGTCTACTTGGGTCCTTTTTGGCTCATTCTTGTCCCCTAGATTTGAGCCAAATTATGAATGTCTGCTGACGTTGCAGCCATGAGTGTTGGTACGTGTGCTGCCAAAACATATCACCCAAAGTGTGCTTGCAGCTCCCAAAAGTTAATTTGGCGCTTTGAATAATCATAATATGACTTTTAATGAAAAGATGGCTCTGTGGCCTAAGTAGAGGTAAAGGTCACGGGTTGTACTAACGATATAAACGCAAAAAGCTGCACGTTTATAAACTACTAGTCAAGCAGTCCTGACGCACACAAGAAAATACTATTGGATATCTGGCTGAGATTCAGCTAGAACTGTTGCATGGGACCTCGTCCTGCATGCCACCTTACGCTGCCTTGAACGACTATTCGCAGTGAACTGGAATCGAAAGTGCTGCGTTCCCAAGCCGCTCTGCTGTTATCCCACATTTTAAAGCGAGCGCTGAGAAACCAGGACGCAAGAAGCGTAGGGGCCAACTTAAGTGCTCACTAACCATTGTTAGCTTTTGCTGTCGCTTGAGTCTTAGTTCTTTAGAGTTCTGTCTTCAGAATGTCAAAACAACTCATCTAAAAATCAATTCTATAATATCCAACGATGTGCTTGTAAATGTCTTAGACTATATATAGGTATGGACTGCCACTCTGGATTCGCCATCAGGGAAGAAATTATTACAATGTTGGCTACAATTTATTGTAGACATTGCCAGTAACAGTGATTGTGAGCGCACTCGTCATGCCACATGCACTCTTTTTTTTCGGTTGTGTCGCAACTTCAAGTCCTGATAAGCAAATCCCTGCAAGATGCGCGAAAAGAGAGTTATTTTGGAACTCAGTGAAAACCATTCTTTATTATGCGAAAAATATTTGGTAATGTCAATAATTAATGCTGGATTCCCAGTAATTATTGTTTTGAAGCGTTTTCGCTGTACGTACTTATAAAGTTTGTGGGAATATTTTTGAATTGAGGTAATGAAAACAAAATGTGAACGTGGTTTTTATGCACGTGTGCATGTTCTTGGCTATTTTTACTACGATTCTTTCAAGTTAGTTACACCTTCTAACAAAATAGCATTAAAGAGCTCGTATCGTTCTAATTCCGGCGTTGGCGTCATTGGTTGTGAGCGAAAAGTCATCCTTTGCGTGACCGAAAAATTGAGAACGATGCAAATAAAATAATTTGACGTTTGCGTGGCAAGCGGATGTTCTACCACTTGACCACCCATTTGCTTGTGAATACAATGTAAAGAACTTCATCTGCTCAGAAATGCAGTGAAAGTAGCTTTCGTGTTTTACAAACACACGCGTCCTGTACACACGCTTCAGAATGCAACATGAAATATTGCAGTAAAAACGGTGGTACAAGTGTCCCATGCCAGTGGGCGTCAGAGCACGTGATTATAATAATGGCTCTGTGGTTTAAAGCCGGTCACCCACTATAAAATCTAAACACGCTACTGCGCCTATTACCCGAAGTCCACGAAGTGGGTGCATAGCAAGCCAGAAAAAGGTTTCATGCAATAAGTGTTTGAAATGTTGTTGTTCACCTATTTATCGTGGCGCGTACAGACAATGGGGGATCGACCAAGAATCAAGTGGTGTTAAAAATTACTGATCAGATATGGAATAATGGAGGTATAATACGCACTAGGAACAGAATATCGCTATCGCGTTGAACTCCTAAAGGCAAAGCTTTACGGTCCTCTACTGTATTTGGCTATTGATTTGTTTTTGACTTGGCAACCCTCGCCTAGGCCAAGGCTTCTGCTGTGTATTTTATGATGGCATACTTGAGCTCTGCTTAGCGTCACCCTGTGTGTAGAATTTATGAACCAATCTCTGCATCTCTGGAAGCAACAAATATGCAGGTGCTGTCAGTTGGCATGCACGATCTTGTGCACTAACAATGTTAGCACGTGCTTCAGTGAACTCCTGTCAAGCTTGCATCACCAAAAGGCCACAATACCTATCGACACAACGTTCGCACGACATCTCCCAGCAGTTAACCTCAAATAACAAAGCCATAGCATTGCGACTCCCGTTTATGAATCCCCCATGCGCTTGCCGTGAATACACTTGCTCTAATGTGCACCAGGCACCACAGCAAAATTACTGAAATGCTTCTTCCGCGACACAGCAAGCCTACCCGAGCAAAAAACGTTTAAGGACCCTTAAGCTTCGCCTTTAAGAGTTGAACGCGCTAGCAAAATCCAGCCCCTAGTACGCCGTTCAACCGCTAAGTCCATACTTATTAATATGTTTTGTTGCGCGCACACACACACACACACACACACACACACACACACACACACACACACACACACACACACACACACACACACACACACACACACACACACACACACCACACACACACACACACACACACACACACACACACACACACACACACACACACACACACACACACACACACACACACACACACACACACACACACACACACACACACACACACACACACACACACACACACACACACACACACACACACACACACACTAAACACCCGCGCGCGCAAGCGCGACGTATGTATAGTAATGGTACAATGGTACAAGTTTTAGAACTATTTAACACTACTTTTATAACAACCCCATGAAATTATTGTACAGTGATATAGTCACATGGTCCAGTATTATAAACTACGCGTAGGCGTGACACTTGTATTAGTAAATGGTCACATTCTGCCATCCATCTTGCATTTAGTTATCTGGCAATTGTTCGACCTGTTCTTCTGGAGACATCTTCCAGCCAACCGCAATAAGCATCGCCTTATGATCGGTGAAATGGCAACTGCAGCACTGCAGTGTAATGAGAATGGAAAGCTAAATCTATGCAAGAGGTGTGATTTGTTGAAATGACATTCCCTTGAGGGGGCATAAAGTCTCTCACAATGCCTCACAGGTGGCAGCACCTTATTTCGCGTTTGTTGTTTGCTTGATCAACGCGTCTGGAAAGGCATGATATGTTTTCCACTAGATGGACATAGTTGCCCATTTTAGTAGGGTTCTTTGATGCGCGCGCACTCTCCTCCGCTTTGGAGGGTGAAGACAACCACGTCGTCTGCTACAGCGTCTGCCATTACGATGTCCTCTTCGCAAGCCCCCTACAGCCACAATGACCAGTCAATGAATGTCGGGCCGCTGCATACAGAGTTTGTTGTGTCAAAACGGGTGGTACTCAAATCGAATGAGAGAAATACAAAGTTATCGCATCGGGAGTGTGCAAGTGTCAGATTTATATTCTCTAATTTTCACTTTTAAAGCGATTAGCAGTTGGAGTTGCTCTCGACAGAAAGCTACCTTCCACGTCAGCCACGTTAACACTTTCATATAGCATCTTCTTCGCGTCGTCATTAACTATTTATATAAGATAAAATGTGAAAGACACGCACCCAAGTCACATGACCTTTCATTGCGTCTGTGGGTTGTATGCCTTACACAAAAGTGTAAAAGCTGTTCCACAAAAGTGCAAAAACAAACCTTATTTGGTTAGCTCAAAAGCGCTTGGTTGCAACAGGTGCTTCAGTATGATTTTCGACTGTGAAAGACTTTCCATTCTAAAAAAAAAAAACACACGGGTGTGTGAACAGCAACTTCAAATTTTTTATTTTTACACTTTCATTCGCTCCCGAACTTCTTTCCCCGTGCCTTGCACACTTAGCAATGTCTTGGTGAATTCTGCTTGACTTAATTTTTGTTTGCCAGGATGCGGCGAGGAAAACGAGCATATTCGGCGGCTTGTAGGCGCATCGGTAAGACCGCGACCGGTGGGTTCCTTTTGCGACGTTAGTTAAAAAAAAAAAAGCCGAGATAACGCACCCTTCAACATTACAACAACAAAAAAAAATTATACAACCAGCCAAAAAACCTCGACAACTATGTTCATTTAGCCGATAATATATCAAGCAAAATGCAAACACTAAATGCTGGGCTGCCACCTATGAAACAGGATCAACAAAGTCTATTTCATTCCGCTGTCATGTGGTAAGATTTATGGAGGCCCGGAAAACGGAACGCTGCCTCAACATTTACCTTCGTGAGCACCATAGCTCTTCAAAGAATGCAGCGTTTTCTCCTTTGTCCCCGCCCACTGTGCCGCCTACAGTTGCACACCACAATTTCGCCATACAAACTCCGTTTCCAAACAAACGTGGTGACGTGTGTGTTAGCGCACCGTCAATTGCATTACTAGATTGCAAGTAGACGTATGTGCAAGATAATGCTATATATATATATATAAGGGAAAGAAGTGTGTACCTAAGGGCTCGTTTTTCCGTGTTTTGACACAATATTAACGAGATCTAACAGACAATAATGCCAAGGAATGTATAGCGGAAGTTATTAGAACAAATGAAATGTAAATAGGAAGAAAGAAAAGAGGGTAAGAAAATAACCAGCCGTATAA